CCCCAAAACCCCAAAACCCCAAAACCCCTTTCATTATCTTTAAATTGAAAATGTCCTAAATTTACTCGCCCTGCAACTCTACATAATTTCCAAAAAGTCTGACATATAATCCCTCAGCACTTGTCTCACATTCAGCTCTCACAATAAACTGTTTCTTCTTCCTTTATTCTCAACCAAAATCCGACAATTTGTAAACAATTTTTATTTTTTAAAGAACAAAATATTATTTAGAGGTTTAAAAGCTAAAATTTATTTTGTGTGGAAATGACTGTAAATGGAACAGATCACAGGCTAAGCTGAGAGATGACAGGGTTAGAATAGTGACTGGGAAAGAGGAGAACTTCTTGAGGTGTTCTTGGTAAGCGAAGAAAGCTTGTGATGTGAAGTCAGGGCTTCATTCTGAGGTTAGAATTGATACAACTTTGTCTTCGAAATCATTAATCATTCTGTAACAGTGAGCCGATAAGTAAATTAGTAGAAAAACAAAAATAACTTTGAGCGGGTAGGCAACCATATGAAATACAGCTCTATCAGTCAGATTGATCTTCCTCCAATTCCTAAAAATAGCAGCCATAAAATATCAAAAGAAGTATTGCAGGATCATGCTAATTCAAAATGCATGTACAATAGTGATTTCCAGAATGTAATCGTTTTGGTTCTTGACCCTGATGATTCTTTCCAATATTTTAAGAAAGGAAACTCTGCTTGCTTCTTTTTTCTCTTCAAAAGAACTTCTCCAATAGAAGTAAGAGTTGATATACAGGTTCCAATTGAATTTCTTTGTGCCTTCCATAGGGTAGTCTGGAGAGAAGATAAGGCCTTTAAACCTCATTATATCCACAAAGCTCTTGCTCTTGAGCCTTTCCAATGCTCTTATACCTTGGATCAACTGGATTATACCTCAAACTTCTAAAGCATTTTCCATAATCCATGAGAGGGTAGAGATGTCTTGTCCGACATGTTTTGAGTACTTTTGAGTTGAGCATACTCTCCCTTCTGTAAGTCAAAATCTAACTATGAGAAGAAAAGTTTCATCCCTTGTAAGAATAAGTAAGTAATCTGGAGGAAGAGGGGCTGTGGTATATTCATCATTATATGTAGTGTTGTTGTAGATGGTGTATATGCCATTTATATGACAACTACTGCTATTAAGGATGCATAATAAGGTGTTTATATCTCCAGTTCCTCACACTCTCTTGCCTTGAGAACGAATGTATTCATTGTCAATGATTACTGGTCTTTCAAGATAAATATAAATTTGGCTAGACCTAAGAAGTCAGATAGTTTTGGTATAAAATTTAGTGATTTTAGGAAAACCATCGGGAAAATGCTCTGATATCCAGCTGTAGTTTGGTCTACATTGCATCCTCCAATGTGCACTTTGTCTCCTTGGTCTTTAATTCCAAATTAGTTTCAGCCAGCTATTGTGTCAACCTCTCTATTGATGAGGTTTTAATATCCAGAACGACACTTCTCAGAGTCTGTATCTATGATATTTACTAATGACTTTAACTTCCAATTATTTGGTATAATTTTCAACAAAATATCCTTAGGTTCTGAACCGACCAGGAAGAGACAGTTAAGAATAACATCAGTGGGCCTAATCATGTAAAAACAACGTGGAAGAAGATCTGGAATATAAGGAGAAGGCAAACTCAAGAAATCTTGCTTCTCTGTTTTACTTCTTTCCTTTCCATTTTTATTTTCATTTGAAAATACTCTATAGGGGTTTTGGGGTTTTGGGGTTTTGGGGTTTTGGGG